GCCCTACACATCGCACTGCTTTTTGCAACCAAATATTCCTTTTCAGTGTTCCTCTTCTGTTCCTGTTCATTTTGCTGAGCACATGTGGAGCCTTCATGTCAACAAGCAATAAAAGACAACAACAAAAAGCTCAAGTTTATCTGAGAACCCTGAGATTGAAGTGAATTCTGTTTTATCAGACAGACTTGTCTCGTCTTGTAGATCAGTCACGAAAAATGAGAGGCGCGCAACTTTTCTATTTGTATCGAGCAAATGAAGTTGCGGCTCGATGTGTTTGAGGTGATTTCCCTTATTGCACATCAGACTTGCTGCGATGTGACTTTCGCGCACGTTGCAGTGTGGATGCTGAGCCGATATTGCGTGTTAAAAAATAATTCCGCACAGCTCCGGCTCTCTAAATAAGAAATCAAACAAAGTGGTTCAGACCGAAGCACATAAGACAGTTTTAGTGCGTTCTGCTTGTGCTCGTGCACGAGACGGGAGAAAGTCAGGGGGAGGAAAGATGCAGGAATATGATGAGAGAGCGAACAGTCGAACCATCTAAATATGCTAAGTAGCGAATTATCATCAATCTCTCTTCAGAATCACAGACTCTTATTTAGTAGTATAATGATAGAAAATTATAGACATGTCTATGTGGAAGGACATTCACTGCTACACTTTGTCATACTCCAGGCATGTGTAATAAATTGTCAAGGATAAAAGGGAACAAAGAAACGGGGATGCATGATGTTGGTCGTCATAGTAATGCTGTTCACATATCGTCCTCTGATTATAGAAAAACAACAAGCATTTAATTGCAACGGGGAACAGGTGTAATCAAGTTGATTATTGCATGATGTACTGTTATTTTTATCAGTTGTTTTGATTGCTTTAGGTGCGTCAACCTCGGAGCATCTGCCAACTCGGTTCACTCGCTGTATTTACCAAAGAGTTTTTTTTCTTTTCTTCTCCTTCTCTCGACTATTCATTCTTTCCCAAAAACCTGATCTCCTCCACCTACAAATCATCTCCTCTCAGCGTGTCAGCAAGAATGTGTCTTCATGTTATATTTACTTCACCTGTGGCCCATCTAGGCCAACCGAGTGCTCTCACATCTGTGGATGCATCCATCAAATCTAAGAGACGTTGACTGGATGTGACGCACTCTAACCCCTCTGGACCGCTGCCCCTGGTCTCATTACACACAAACTGCCGCAGACACACACAAAATACACACTCCTCCCACTCACCGCTGAGCTTCCTGCTGCAGCTGCGCGAGCTGGTGCAGGCGCCGGAGAGCCTTCTCCTGTTTGCGCTGGTCCTTCCACGACTTGGAGGCCACGTTGCGAGCAAACTCCCTGTGCTTGAGCTCCTTCAGCCTCTGCACGGAGATGAAGACGGAGGGACGGAAAAGAGGATGGATGGCAGGGGGTGGATGGGGGTTAGAGAGGGGGAAAAAAAGGGAGATGCAAGAGCGGGACAAAAGAGGGGAGAAAGGAGAACGAGCGAGGGATTAGTTTTAGGAAGCTCTCTGCAGGCAGCTGTCTTTCAAAACCGAACACATCACTCAGCAGTGTTTGCAGATGTTCTCCACCAAAGCTCATGTCCAATTAACTCCATTCAGCCCGGAAGAAAAGTGTCTTTCTCGCAACGCGCAGCTTGAGAGCAAACACAAGCCCAACTCGTGAATAGCAGATTACAGACGCGGATGAGACGAGTGGCACAAGTGATTTAATGATGATGAAGCTCTTTCTGAACAGTTGGTTTGACATTTTTCCTCTTTGCTCCGTCCCCTTCAATCCATCGGCGCGCCACTGAATGAAGAAAAAAAAAAAATCAATGCTTCATAAATCATCACAGCTCGGTTTGAGAGAACGTCTTATTCGGTGCTTTTGAGCTGGAGAGCGCCAAACACATTTATTTGTTGATGCTAGAATTACACGTCAACAAACCAAAAAAAAGCCTAAAGACCAGAGCTTTCAGCCGGAGAAACGCTGCGCCATTGTACAGCGTTGATTGCGAGTTTAGAATTTTTAATATTTCTGCATAAATATGACCTAAAGCATCATCACGCAACTCCTAAGAGTAGATAAAGAGAACCAAAAATATTACACTTGCTCCTTCCAAAACATTAACTTTGCTCGTCTTGAATCATTCTTTGGCGGAGCGACTTGTGCGCTCAGGGTTGTTGTCTCGCTGCGTGACCCACTTTCTCTTGAGATTCGCTTCACGGACAGATGTCCTGACATTTTCTTTTAGAATTCGCTTGTATAATTCAGAATTCATTGTTGCATCAATAATGTCGAGCCGTCCTGGCCCAGATACAGCAAAACAGGTCCAAAATGTAATCCCACTGCCACCATGTTTTACAGATGGGATGATGGTGGTTTTTTTCGTGCTGGAAAACAGCAAACATAACACCTTTTATTTAAACCAGAATGTTCTATTGTATTCTCATCCGTCCACACAACATTCATGTGGATCTTCTGCTGCTTTTCGGAGAGCAGTGGCTTTTTTTTTCTTCCTTGCAGAGCCATCGCACTATTGTTGTTCTCCCGATGGTGAAATCATGAATATTAATTTTAGCCAGTGTGACAGCAGCCTTTAGTTGTTGGGTTCCTGTGTGAGCTTGCAAACTATTACCCATGTTGCTTTAAGAGGGATGTTTGTTGGTCAACTGCTGCACAGTAGTCCTGAATTTCCTCCAATTGTACACAGTGTGCTTGAGTCCAGACTCCTTAGAGATGGTTTTGTGACCTTTTCCAGCCTGGTGCACCTCATCATCTCTTTCACTGAGGTCCTCAGAAACTTTATTTATTCCACCAATAGGTGTTGTGAAGATCAGACTTTGATAGATTTTTTTTTATTATTTTTTTTTTTAAAGACAAAAAAACAAAAAACTGAAACACCTGACTGTCATATCCTTTTCAAATGATCTGCTTAGCTTCATGGTTCACATAGTTTGTCCATACACAAACATGTAATATTGGACAAGTTCCTCAATAAATAAATGATTTTGTATTATGTTTTTCTTATTCTTTTTCATTTAGTTAATTGTTAGAATCCCCAAACCCACCAAGAGCTTTGAAAGGCTTGTTATTCTTTTAAAAAGAATTGCTGAAATTGGACCATTTACTAGAACCAAGACTGTAGAAACAGAAAAAAATAGTCTAATTTTCCACTTTCCCACAGTTGTTGAACTAATCATGCAAAAAAAAAAAAAAAGAAAACTAGGGGTGGGACTTTAACGTGCTAATTAACACGTAATTAACACGTTAAACTCCCACCATTAATATATGATTAATTAATTATGACATAAATAATGCGTTAAAAAAATTAACGCATTAAATCGCAGTGTTACGTTTGTCAGCGCCCGATTTCATGGTCCATCGATCACACTGATGCTACGCTAACAACAACAAACATGGAGGAATCCAGTGAGAGTGCATTGCTTGGACTGATGGAGGGCGAGTTTAGTTTTTAAAAACTGCCTGATGGAAGCCTTGACAAGGTTTTGTGCAACTTGTGCAAAAAAGAATTTGCATCCCACTGAAGCACATCGAGCCGACGCTACCACCTGAATGCAAAGCATGTTGCAGCGAGCACAGAAACTGCCGGAGCTGTTAGCGCTAGCGGTTCTGGTCCGAGTACGAGCAAGTGGTGTCGGCAGCCCACACTGGACCCAAAGACTAGATTCAGAGCCAAAACTAGTACGTTGACATCTGACAAGTCACAAATTTGCTGGCCAAATGGAATGCTCTGGACTGTAGACCGCCTTCAGTGGTGGAAGATAAGGGTTTTGAAAATGTGCTACAGATAGCGACAATTTTTTTTAACGCGTTACTTTAGCTGTAAAAAATTAATCGGAATTAGCGCATTAAAGTCTCCCTAAAAAAAACTAAAAATTCTAAGCTGTTGGTGCAACCAGGAAGCCATGTGTGTATGTAATGGCTCCTCGGTTGAAGTTTTTGGTTGAACTGCAGGCAGTGTTTGAGAAAAATATATAAATATAAGAATGTTTACAATGTTTATATTTATATATTTTAGACTTTCTTATTTGTGTTTATACTTTCGAAGTCTTCTTTTTGCTGGAAGCTGGAACTTCCAACTGCAATTTCGTTGTGTGTGTGGAAGCGTATGCGCAACGACAATAAAAACAATTCGGACACTTGATGAAAAAATAAATGCAGTGTGGCTCGAAAATAGTGCAGAAGAGCAGGTTGATGGGAGATACGTTCTTGTCTTGTTTGCGGAGGTTGTAAAAATCATAAAGAATACGTGGAACAAGATTTTTTTTTAGTACCAGTAACTCCTGTGGGCG